AACCAATTATACTGAGTGACTTAAGTCAGTGTCAAAAGGGCAGTTAATGATATAAGACTACCAATATAAAAAGTGAAGGGAAGGATTACACATTAAAACACTCAAGGAAGGTTAACAGGGATAAGAAAAGAGGAGTAAAAATGACTAAGTAGATAATATGGGCGAAGGGAAAGGAAATAATCATAGTTTACACATTGTAATCATTGCAGCTAATGTTGTAAAACAAGTTAAACAATGAATGAATGGAAATCCAAAGCCTCTGTAAATTTTCATTAAAATTAATAAAGAAAAAAAAGATATTCAACATATCAGAGTATAACATAGAGAAATCTGTGCAAAAAAAGGTAAATTTTAAGCTATAAATTAGAAATAATTCAAATTAATGTCATATCTTTACACCCTGAAAAGCTGTACAAATAAAAACAAGTTTTATTCAAAGATGTCTAAAAGGAGAAAATAATAAAGACTAAGAAAACAAAGCAAGGGAAAAAAACCAAGCTAAAAAACCAATATGATTTGTAAATTTTCACTCAAAGTATATGTATAAAAGAGACAATGCTTTCGACAAACAGAAAAATAATTCTTTTTGTTTGTTTTGTTTTTTAGAAAAACAATTATTAATGTAACATAATACTATTTCAGTTTAGAAACAGTTTTCATACTTAATCACATTCTTATGGATTAAGGGGTTTGGATTTCTATTTTAAAAATTTAAGTTCATATGTCATTTTGACTAAATATAAAATCATACTAACGCTTTAAGACTCCTGTTGTGTGAAGCAAGAGTTTCACCGAGATATTTTGCTCCTGGATTTTCTATTCTGTTAAAAGAAATATCTAATACTTCCAGGGTAGTGTTGCTTTTCAGGACACTCGCCAAAAAAACTATTCCATCGTAAGTTATTCTGTTGCTGAAAGGAAAAATATTTAGTTACATATGAAAATAATGAAGTATTGTTCTATTAGCCAGAGATAAAATTCTTTAAAATGTTTTCTAATATTAAAAATATTTTCTATTTTAATAAAGGTTTATTTCAATCATGCAATTCAAGAAATTTAATGAAATTATATCATAAAACATTGCTTCTTGTTTTTGAGAAGAATCTCACTGCTTTCCAGGTCTGAATTAAAGTGCTCCGGATATTGAAAAAAA